ATAAGGCCATTTATACAGCTTTAATAATCGTGGAGGGCACCGCATGACTAAACTGTAGATACTCTTCAGCTTTCAGTGGCTGATTTGGTCACATCTGACAAAAAAAAAAAAAGCTAGCCTGGCGGGGCATCAAGCTAATATGAACAGGCATTTATACAACTGTCTCACATGATGAACAAAACCACGTGCCATGGCTCATTGCAGCACTATGGTGTTAGGAGGTGCTGAAAGACCCCCAGGTGCATGTGTGGAAAAAGGGGCCAGACATGGTAAAGACTTTATTTCAGCTGTAGAGCGCTTTCTCTTTTTGTTTGCTCCTTCCTTTAAAACTCCCCTTATCTAACGTACACAAGACTGAGATGGAATTTTTCTCAATCCTAAAATATTTTCAGTGACGGTAAATGGTAAGACATGCCGTAAGGAAAAAAAAGTCCAGAATTTCTTTTAATAAGTCGACCAAAACATTCCTGCAATTCAAAGACGGAAAACAAAAACACCCGGCCCAAATAGCTCACTGCTTACCAACACTAGTGATATAATCCATCTGCTATTTACTGTCATGATGGGCCCATCTTTGGAAAACAATTAAAAGGATAATAAAACAAGTTCCACCATCTGAAAATTACCTTCTTGCATTCTTTAACAGATCAACAAAAGTTAAAGACAAAGAATTTTAACACCTTCAGTCCAGGAGGAAAAAAACTTGTTAGTGTGAGTAAGACATCTGAAGTCTCACTCACACATGTGGTCAAGTGAACCACAACAATCTAAAAGGATATTCAGCTTTATTCAGGCTGCAAGAGAGAGCAAGACTTTCAATAGATAACAGAAAGGCTCAGTGGAGGGCAGCAAAGTTTCTGCTTGTTTATCCTTTTGAGCTTTCAACCAATCCGTTATGGGACATGCTGAATTTGGGAATTTTAATAACCTCTTCAAACTACAAATTAGTTAAGAAGGGATGGACATTGTTTGGGGAACACACACAGATGCTGATGTCCTAACGCTAACCCCGCTAATCATCAGTCCTAATCCTATTTCAGCGACTGCAGTCTTACACGAGAAGCTTGATATCACTTGCCATTAGTAGAAACAATGTGGGAAGGACGGAAAAGAAACTGTTACAAATGTTGAACTGTTTCTGAATGAAAACATTTAAAAGGATTAACAAAACTGTACTCCAATACTAGAATGTAAAGTGGAGGAAAAATATAATAAACCAAACATCGGGGTTAAGTAAGCCCCTATCTCTCATCGGCAGAGCTGCAGGAAAGCCTGGAGAGGCGCTGGTTGAGGTAATGCTTCTCTGCAGCTTCTCCCGGGCCCGAGGCGTTTGACCACAGCCTTGTAAACCTCAGAGCTCGTAAAAGTCAACACAATGAGCAACGAATGCACCATGCGACAGACGGGAAACATGCTTACATCACAGACGCAAATCTCTTCAGATAAGAGAACTCAACATTCCACAAGCATTCTCTCATTTAAGTGCTTCTCCGTTGCATAAGCTCTTCTTACAAAGGTCAGGGGTCAATCCCACCAAGAGTGCCCTCTACACTGCAGTTATTAGTGGGCAACACCATACAGAAGCATCTCTCTCCAAATGAGTATGGAGCTTTTATCATGCCATTATGGCCTCAGCGGTCAGAATATTGGGTTCCCTGGATGCTCTGAAATTCCTCTCTGCAGCTTTTATTCTGCATAAAATGAGCAGGGAAGATAATCCCAGGCAACTCCATTCACACCTGTCCATTCATGTTTACTTCACAAAGGGCGGCTTGTGAGAGTGGAGTCTTCATTTGCATGGTTTGCTTCTTGTTTTAGCAGGAAAAAAACAGGAGAAAGGAAGACTTACAGAAAATACATATCAAAGCACCAATGGAAAGTGTTTAATAGTTTCTGTGTGTTAAGTGAACCCAGGCAGGTACTTTGACTATGGTAGTTATGGATTAATTCTGCCAATAACAGAAAAAAATTAAACACTTAAAAATTTAGACAGGAAAGAAACTAATTAGCCAGATAGCTAAAAATTACATCATTTTTTGTCAAGTACTGCTAAAGTTAATGCATTTTCACATATTTTCTAGTTCCTGGAGCCATAATGTGACCTTCCTAAAATATCAAAGACTGGAAGAAGTGGTTCACTGTATTCAAAAGGGATCCAAAGTCACCAGATCTCTAATTGAGCACATCTGGGATGTGGTGGAGCAGGCAGTTCACCACACTGATGTGCAACTGACAAATGTTTAATAACTCAGATGCCATAATGTTCAAATATACCAAAATATGAGGAATGTTTCAGACACCTTGTTAAATCTATGCTGGTTCCTGATGTAGTAAGCAGGTCAAACCCAATATCTACATCTATTAAACTGGACAGTGAATGTAAATCTGGACATTCCTCCATTCCGTGCCTTTAGTAGTTTTGCATGTCATCACAAGACCAGAGGTTTATAATCTGGCATGTAAACCTGAAAGATTTTAAACTAAGATTACAAAAAAAAGAGAGAGAGAAGCGATAAGAAATAACGTACCACCACAGCTCTGTACTTGCAACACGTAAGGAGAGCGAAACAACTTTACATGAAAATATATTTAAACTATTTCACCTCAAAATTCTCTACTAACATTTTTTTTCCTGAAAACAAACGTCCTTCTTGCATCTCCTCTGCTAAGTTGTGGTATTATTGTTTTGATTTGGTTCCACCTTTTGTAGGGGAGGGCTTTTTTTATTTTCACTGCACATAAAATCACAAAAGTTTGGCCTAAATGCTGGTACACCAGATAAAATCAATGCCTCATACGCTACATTAAGCAGGCCTTAAACCATAGCAGAAGCAGGCATTGGCTGAGTTCCTGTAAATCAAGATTTTTATAAGAAATGAGCTCCAAAACCATTAATTTCCCCTCCATAATTATATTCTTAAAGTTTAAAATCCACATAAAAAGATACCAGAGAAAGTGCTTGAATGGCAGGAGTGTGATCCATCTTTATAATCAAGGTGTGCAGGTCAAATGATATTAAGCGAATGTTTTCTTTGATCTTTGAAAAGAAAAATCCAAAAGCATCATAATATTTGCTCAGACCCATTTCTGTATTTGCAGTTCAATATTTGTGGATTTTTCTGTGGCACGGCGCTCCGTGCTACTACCCGGAATATTTCCAGACACTTCCCTGAAGCACATCTAAAACATTCAACGTAAAATGCAGCTTGGGAAGTTGATCTACCGAGACGCAATGCTGGCTGACGCACAACGCAATTTGTTTTCATTAACACTGGTTCCCAAACTTTGACACAAAAATATAACGGCAGCAGCAAAATTTGACCTGGCTGCAAACTGACATAATTCATCCGCTTATAATTATAGTTTTGAAACTTCTACTGAAACATGGCCAAAACTATGCAATTGCTTTTAAAAAGGTTATCTGAAGACCTCCCAGGTGTTGTTTTATGACCCAGAAAGGGTTCCTCATCCTAACTTCAGCCAGCACAAATCTAAGATATACAGCAACGCTCATTTCCTGATTACTGGCTGGCCCATGTCCAGTCTTCAAACAGTTTTGCTCGACACTACTGAGCACCTAATAACAGGATTTAGAGCGCCAGCTGACAAACTGGTCAATCTCCAAGATTTGGTACATGGAGAGCACAGAGGTCTGGGTGGGTTGTGAATGTGAGAACAAATGGAAAATGGGAAGGTTGTGGACCACTTTTAACCCTAATAAAAGCAGCTCACACTCCCAGCATTTCTGAATAATTTGAGTGCTTTCAGAGTACATAATCACAGCGGTGGCCCTCACTGGGCCGACTGGCACGGCTTCATATCAGAGTTCCTGCATGTGTCTGAACCACAGGAATCAGGCCAGGAGTGTGACATGATTTAAATTCAAAAACAATGAATGTGAACCGCCGCCTTCAAACACACACAGACGGAGACACACACCCCTCCTTCCCTCCCAGAGCTGCTTTCTTTTTTCCTCGCTACAGAGGCTCGATTAAACCAGACACATGTATGAGAGGAATTTGGAGTCTTTCGGGGGAAAACAAGAGCTGGTCTTTGCTTCAAATCATTTATGGAAGTGTTACACACACTGACCCCTAGGAATCACATTTCTGAGAAACAAACAGTCCCACATTGCTGTATTACATATGAGGAATGTTAAACATCTGAAGTTACAAAAGAAGGAAAAACAAGGAAATGCAACTTTAGAACCATTTATATGGAGGCCAAACATGTGCTCATAATTTGCCTCAACTCCTGACTCACTTGAATCCTCTTTACGATATTCATGAGTTTTACCATTTTAGACAACATGTGTAAATATGTTTCACAAAGTGCCTTTTCGCAATCATAAATGTGAGTCCATTTCTAATCAGACAATGTTGGTTAAAAAATGATGAAAAAAATGCTGTAAATATAAATCTAATTTATTTGCATTCAGTCCCGTTTTGGAAATCTTCTTGAAACACTTGACTGCAATCACAGCTGTAGGATTTCAGGATGTCATTTCTCTAGCCATCACTTTGCTACAACTGAGGGAACGGTGTGTTCAGGGTACCGTCTTACACATGTTTGCTGTGGCACCTATTTCGGTCTAGAAAAATCCTTCTGCTTCTTGTACATTTCAGCTGTTCTCTCAACACACCTGACTTAAGGCCTTTGCAGAACTTTATGGCTTCCTGAAGGGACCAATCATTTCAATCAGGTGTGCATCTAAAGCATGCTGGACTCTGAAAACCAGGTGATTATTGATGAGTAATTCCATTAGTATAGACTCTGATCAATGACTTCTTTCTTTTAAGTGACTTCTAAAGCCAGTGGAGTTTATGTAATGCTACAATGGCAAAAGGGGATGAATACAAACACACCACACTTTTAAGATTATTATTAATAATAATAGACTGTCATTACCAGTCATTCCAATACATTGATAAAATCTCATTTTCAAAACTCCAGTCTATAAACGATTAGAAAAAGGTTAGTTGCTTCCGTATCACACTCACCTCATTGGACGGTATGCTGACAACACCTGTAGATCTCCTCTTTTCCCTTAACTTCCTCTTCTCAATCTGTCCTTTGCCCTTCCTTGCACTGGGACCTGAGTTTTTCTTCTCCTTCCCCTTGCTGGGTGATGGTGACGGACTGTCCTTGTCACTGTCATTATTGCACGCCATCATCGAGCTGGAGTCCGGCGAAGCGCACCGAGTCTTCTCCATCTGAGGCGGGGCCTTCTTCAGGTTGCTCCCCTGGGCGGTGGGGGTGGTGGCTGCGGGTGCGGCCGGGTGGTGCGCCTCTTCCTCGGCTCTGTTCAGCGTGCCGCCGGAGGGGGACCGAGCCACCGGAGAGGAGGAGGAGGTGCGGCAGTTCCCAGCGGAGGCGCTTCGGTCCGGGTTGGTACAGAGCTCGGTGCCCGGCGGGGCGCCGAGGCGGCTGTTGCTGGTGCTGTTGCTGCTGGCGGGGTTCAGGGGGACACCAGTGGCTTTTGCAATGTCCCCCAGCATTTTAGCCCTCATTTTCTCCCTTTTTGCCTTCCACTCCTCCAAAAAGTCAGCGGGTGCGTTTGACTTAAACCCGCCAGTAGCCATGATCCCTTTACTGCTTCGAAAGTGAGTGAAAGTAAAGTTGAACTTAGTGCAAACTTTCGGGTCTGGGCAACCTTTCTAATGAAACCACATTCCTCAAGCGATCAACTGTGGAGCTGTTGACAGGTTGGAGGAAAATAAAGTCAGTCTCGCTGAAAAGAATGGCTAAAATGTTTTCAAACTAACAAACTAAAACGTTTCTGTCTCGCGCAGACGCTGAAGAACGGACTTTCCTCAAAAAGTTAAAGCTTTGCACCCACTTAAACACCCTGTCTCAACTCGTTTTCTATTAAAGACCCTATGTGGATATGTGTTAAACTCGCGAAAGTGAAAGAAAGTAGTGTAAAAGTGGAAGGAGACTCACCTGTCGGAGATGTTTCGCCAAACTGCTCGCTCCGGTCCCACCAGGTGTGACCGCGCTCGGCTCTGATCCGCGGCGCTGGGAGACACCGCGAGCGCTACTGGTGGCAGCGGCGCTTCCGGTGTGGTGGCGAAAAACGTCACCCTGCTATGAGAAGCAGGAGGGCGGGAACGCGCACATGATGGACTACGATTTCTAAAACTATATCTGATGCATACACACTTTTTACCGTTTAGTCCGCAGTGAGTAACATTTTTTTTTCACATATCAACACAAAGAATGCATCTTTGCGAAATAAATAAAAGAATATGCACGATTTTTAAAATAAAAAAAAATAGATATTCACTTCGTCTTTTACTCTCATGCACATCATTCACCAAAATGCTTTCACAAAGCATCTAATTAGTCTATACAGGCAACACACGTGTCATTTAATCTCAGTATAAATAGAGCTGGGAAGTGGAGGTGGAGGAGGTTTGCTTGAGAACATTAGCGAACAAACAACATCCTGAAGACAGAAAAACACAGAGGACGTGTCAGGGATCAAGAACAGGAGATGCTCAGAAATTTAAAACATCTCGCAGAGCACTGTTTAATCTTAAATGAAAACAACTGTAATCCTACCAAGTTTAACAACTTAAACTGATAGGTGGAGCAAGAAGAGCAGACAGACAAGAGAAGCAGACTCATAGAAACCTGGAAGGAGCGGCAGAGTTCAGCAGTTCAGATGGGAGAACCTGTTGAAAGCAGCAAGTAGTGCAATCTACAAACCTGGCCTTTATTGAATATCAAGAAGAATGCCGTTGTTCTCTTCCTGTGCACACCAGCACCCAAAGCAAAGTCCATAAAAACATAAATGATATAGTTTGGTGTTGCCTGTCTTTCAAAAAGCCCTGACCTCAGCCTGATAAAACACCATTTGGAGGAAGTAGAGTTGAGATTGTGATCCTCTCGTCCATCATCAATGTCTGACCTCACAAATGGATTCCTCAAACTTTCAGAAACGTACTCCTAAACTTCGTGAAATGCGTCTCTAAAACAGTTGAATCTGTTACAGCAGCAAACTGGGGCCAAAAATCATTATTAAACTCTGTGGATTAATAATGAGATGCCACTAAAGTTTGTTCATCTGTGAAGGCAGACAAAAGAACATTTCTGGCAATCACATATGCTCATAGATCATTTGTTGTAGTAACCTGAGAGACTCTGGAATATGAATCACACACGAGTGGATTTTTAACCAAAATAACCATCTGCTATTAGTAGTAAAACAACTCGGTTTTAGTCAAGATGCATGGCACTCCAGAGATACTCGATCATTTTTGCATTTTGCCATTTTCACTTCAAGCAGTGATTTAAACCAGCTATAGGGGTTTAGTACCAGAAATCTAATTTCATGCTGCAAAAACAGACCTATAACTCTGCTCTGCTCAAGGGTATAATGTTAATAGATTGTGTGTGCACAACTGGTTCCCAAGGGTGCACTGACTTTCATGGATGTTTGTCACCATTACCCAAACCCGAATTCTTCCTAAAGGATGCATTCGCATCTCCATAGAGTTAGGCTTCATTATTTCCCCCCCCTCCCCTCCCCTTTTTGGCCGAGAAGCTCCAAAAACACGACACGCGTCCACACCCCACTGGTGAGTGCAAGCCAGATGTTCAGCCATTATCTCTGCACATGCCAGCCCCGATACAGATAATGAGAAAAGCAGGGTGGAGCGAGCAGGGGAGGCACTTTTCCTAAAAATAAACCCTGATCTATGGGCAAAGGTCACACTGCTGCATATTTAACATATTTCTGCATTCTCTTGGAAGAAAAACGGCGCAGAGGGCGAAAAGGTTGCGGCTGAGCACTTTCCATTCGTGCCAACACGAACACCTCCCTGTCCTGCCGCCAAATAAATCCCCAAAGCTCTCCAAGCAGCATACGCATCCTCACACTTTACTTAATATTTCTTTAATGCTCTAAACCCAATCTAATGGGTTTGAATTGGTTTGTTTCCAATAAAAGGAATCGCTGTGTGTTTTGCGACCATAATGCATTCAGGGTAAACAAATGAAGCGCTTGCCGGGCTGTAAAATGAGCCCAGCAAGCAGCCGCAGATTTATACTCGACATAACGCAGCACGATGGCTGCTCATGCGCTCACACATTCCCCTTTTATTTAGCAGTAATGTCTCACTCAGAGGCTATTAGATGCAGCGAGGAGCCCGCATCGCATTCACTTTTCCGTGAAATTGTGCATCCAGTAAGAAAGCGCTCGATAAACGACTGACGACCCAGATGTTGGGCTTGCATTGCAGATGTTCAGCTGGGCCAGATGTGTGGAGACCGACCACTGGAGGGGTTTACCCCGACAAGAGAAAACCGATTCTGTGCCGCCTTTCTCGAAGGGAATAATTGTCAAACTTCAGAAAGAAAGTAGGCCAATAAAAAGGAAAGCAAAAAGCAGTTCAACTGCCATGCTAAGGAGGAGGATTAGTGTTTGATTCACCTTTCACACCCTGGCTCCCTTCAGATGATCCTGGATTTGAACTGTTGTCGGCCTTTAATCCTCCTCCAAGATCAGGCCCGCGCGGGTCAGGGCAGCTCGGCGCCGAGCGGCGAGGTCAGCAGCAGGAAGGACGCCAAACAGAGACTTTCAGCTGACACACTTTTTCAGTGAATTTCCAGGAAAACACTTCACTACATCACTGATGTGTTCTGGCTACCTAGTATAAAACAATGAAACAACTTATAACTTGTAGCAAAATCTGTTTTGGAGAAATTAAATTCTGCAAAATGTATGCTTTACAACAGCAATTCACTCATTGTGAGTTGCTGCTGGACTCATTTTTCAGTCATCTTTACCTCACAGATTTCGTCCTCTCCATCGCCGTCTGTTGCCTCCAAAGGTTCAAATAAAGTTGTGGCTTCAGGTCAGCATTTGTCTACAGATGTTCGTTGAGATGGGAGTGTCAGGGCGCCATCTTTATCTTCTTGTGCTGAGTTGGCAGCACATGGAAGAGAAACGTCCTTGAGTTTGCTAAATGATTAATCAACATTTGCATCAGGTCTCTTCTGGTCGCTCTGATGTTTCTAAATCAATAAAATCAGTTTAGATCTTTTAGAAAAAAGATTGTTTCCCAAAGATATATATTTTTTTAGTTTTAACTGGATGGTATATCAGTTTTTTTTATGTTTGGTTCTTGGCTCTTTAAAATAGAAAAAAACAAGATGTCTTACATTTCATTTTGTTTACAAAATGTGCTGTGTGTACACGTGAAATCAGAAGAGCTCTGCTCCCTCAGAACTGACACAAACTCCAGGATTCCTCTGACAGTGCAGGATATTTAGTTTCCTGCCATTACAACTCAGCCTGAGTGTGAAAGACGTCTCTATATCCTGTTTTCGACATGCATCCACAACAATCTGCCGTTGCCTTGAATTGCATTTCTGTAACCAAGCATGTTTATCTTTGTTTCGGCGACAGACTCGAGTTGTCACATCATCCGGATGCCTCGATTTGTCATTGTTTGTCACTGGAGAGAAACCCTGCTGCTGTTTGTCCTCTGAGCAGAGTGGTTTTGTGCACCGAGTGTGTCTAAGTCTAGCATTTAAGATTGCAGCTGGGGAGGAGGTTTGTTTGGGCTGTTGTGCTTTCCGGCAGAGGAGACAGGGGCGAATGTGAGCGTCTCAGCGTGTGACTGTATTTGCAAAGGACCAATTTCACGTTCATGAATAATTTCCAGTGTAAAAAAGAGCAAAGTTTCTGTTTGTAATATTTGAGGGGGAAAAAAACTTAGGGTGTGAGGTTGTGCGGAGTAGTTATGGGTAGTGAGCATCTTCTGCAGGGAGCATGAGTTTTAACAAACAAACTGAAAGTAACTTAAGTATTTGCAATTTTTTATTTGGAATGCAATTAGAATTATTCACAGAAAATCCCTCTATTAGCAGATTTTTTTCCTAAGGCATATCTAAAACTAAATCGACTCACAAGTCATGAATTGTAGTTCCCAAAAAGAAGTTCTTATATTTAGTTTCATGCTCTTACCTTAAAAAAAAAGACATTTTATCATGTTAAACCTATAAACGTCAATACAGCTTATTGACGCAAATGAGCATAACATGAAGTGATAGAAAATGTTTTTTTTTATTTGCAAATAATGTTGCACAAAAACATAAAAGTAGTTCGTGGCAAATTGCGATGTATTTCTAGCAACCAGTAATTTACCTTCTTTTCCTCAGATGGATGCTTCTGTGAAGACCTTAGCTTGCAATCGAGGCATGTTCACGTCACAGACAAGACAAGAAGCAGGCTCGTTCAGAGAGGACGACGGAAAATCCAGAGGCAGGACACTTCACTTTATCTGTGTAATTACAGCTCACAGCACGGCTTATCCTCTGAACTTGGGGGGTTCTGGATCCAAGCCAGCCTCAGCAGTGACAGCCATGCAACACGTAAAAACAGCAAAGGTGGCTCCTGTGGAACAAGGGGGCATAAATCACAGCCTGGTTCAGCAATGAGAGCTGGCAGCGGATGCTCACCACGGCTTAATTCATGTCATGGTTGTGTGTACACGTTGTCTGATTCTTGGATGCGCTTTATTTGCTTCAGACACGCCGTCATCTGGTGTCAAACAGTGAGGCGGAGCTGAACGACAAAGAGAGCCGAGTCTAAGCTTTAGTTTTCTGTTTGGAGACAGGATGTCAGCTGTCTGTTTCAGTATTCAGATCATATTTACAAGCTGCAGAGAGCACAAAGATTAAACCACGTCTACTGAAGTGCATAGAAAGTACACCACCTACTGGTGTAACACGGCATAGCAGCATGATACTGAAACCAGCGATATGACGATACTTGAAGGATTCTTACTAATTAATTTATGCTAATTTTGTAATAACTGATAAGTACAAAAAAAAACTGTATTACCAACTGAATATTTATCAAGAAAGTAAAGAAAAAAAAGTTCTCTCCCTTAAGTGGAGGGAAGACACAACCCCTTTGACCTGAGAGGAGAAAGTTATTTATATATCATGTTAAACAAGCATTTAATATATGTTGATAAATGTGTTAGTTCAAACCATCTCTTACATCAATCATGAGGAAGCATCTTTTCCCCGAATGCAACGTCTTTCTAACCAAAAGAGATTTTAAGGAGTAATACTGCCACCTTCCCAGGTTCCTTAAATATAACATCCTACAAAAAAATAAAGAAAACACTTTAAAAGACAAAGACACATCAGCTTATTAAATAACCAATAACTTTGTTACTTCCATAAGAAAGACTCCATCAAATCCTTCATATCCACATCTATTTGCTTAAGTTTAGATAAACAAAAATGCTTTAAGGTCTTACAGCAGGGGTCCTCAAACTTTTTCTGTGAGGGTCACATAACTTTTCCCTTCTGGGGGCCGGAGTCAGTTTGTAATAGAAAAAGTGTGACAATTGCAGGAGTGCCTAAATGTAAAAATTTCTTGTTTTCCTGAAAGCACAATAAAATAACCCTCTCTGAGTTCTTCACAGAAAAAAATCCAGGAAATAACACTATTTATGACATAAATACCATATTTTCTGGACTATAAGCCGCAGATATTTCTGCCGCTCCAGGTTTTCCACAACGATGCAGCAGCAGAGGGGGGCAGACACCCAAAGTTTGAGTCATAACAGGTCAATTGAATATCACATTTATTACGGTTGAAAAAGAAAAATTTGCCAAGTTTAGATTTAACTGAACTGATTACTGTAGTTTCCGAACAGTAACTGCAACAGTAAAAGTGCTGATCCTTCCTGTCTGCTACTAGCATGTGCTAAATGAAAATGGGCACTTTATTCTTCTTCCTTAGATTTAAACAGCAGCTTGAATCAATTATTGTTGCACTACTGCCATCTATTGGATCCTAATATCTATACTTCAAATTATCATAATGATCCCAGTATTATTTAAAAAACGAAAAATCTTCTTTTTCCCCTCAATGCTATTTAACTGATCAACAACATTCTCAAATTTCAATTCCCTATTAAAACCTAATTCCGTTTTAATGGGTAATTTCTTCTTTTATTTCCAATTTTGACTTCCAATGATTCACTTCCTGCTAAAGAGCCCCCTGGTGGTTGAAGAAAAATCCACATATAAGCTGCACCGGGCTATGAGCCGCAAGGTTCATAGCGCAAGGTTCAAAGTAGCGGCTTATAGTGCGGAAAATACGGTATATGAAAAAAAAAATCTAAATGCTCTCTGGTATTGTGCAGGGGGCCGGACCAAATGCGGAGGCGGGCCAGAAACTTGACGCAGCCTAGTCAAGTTTCAAAATCTAGGTCTGGGCTTTGACTTGGCCATTCTAACAAGTTAACTCTACATCGCATCATACCAGTCTTTTCAGTTTTATTTGTGCTTTACACTTTTAATCCACCATCTTGGTTTATCATAAATTGTACATAAAATACATGCATTTTTTTTTTGTTGCAACACCACAAAATGTAAAATGTGAAAAAGGCAGTAAAATTTTTGGAAGGCACTGCAGTGTTTAGTTTTGACTTAAACCACTGATAAAGTGATTCATCTAATCACAAAGTTCTTGTTAAAAAGAAAATAAAAATATATGAACAAACATTAAGGAAATAAGACACGGGAACTTTCCAATGTACAAGTTTATTTTTAATGAACTCTTCAGTGGTTGGTAGTCACAGCACAGCTTGCATGTTTTAAGCCACACACCTATTTTACAAGATGACAGAAAAAAAAAAAGGAAAAAAAAAAAGCCTATGCCAGAGCAGACAGCCATCAGTCCATCTGCAGTGATCCTTCTTTAAACTTATTGGACTAAAACTTCCTTAAAAGGCCACTGAAATGCATAAAATGTTGAGTGGAACAGCTGATGGTGTTTCGCTTCAACCCCACAAAACTCCTCACATGGCATCGACAGTGCATGTAGACATTGTAGAAAGGACTGGGTTAGAAAGATCTAAGATATCCGTTTATTTTTCATTTTTTCAAACATTTTATTTTAGTGACAATACCTTGCCTATAATACTACAGCTTTTTAAAAAGAATGGGAAACAAAATTAACAGCACTCGTCCAAGATACTGAATACAATGAAAGTGAAATGTAGTGAAGCGATTACTCTTTAGATTTCACTATTATGTGAACCAAAAAAAAAAAGAAAAAGAAAAAAAAGAAGCCGTCCTGTTTCAGAGAGACACTCTACTATGTCCAATGTCCTTAAACTATAAAAGGAAAATAATTAAAACACACCTCTTTGTCCTCTGGAATTTGTACGCTTTTAATAGTAACAGACGGGATCCATAAACGCATGCCATGTGCTGCTCTCAAACAAAATACATACAGGTATATACAGAATCACTCAGTACCTGCTAAACAAAGTGAGAAATACAGAGTATAAACCGACTACAAACTTAAAATAAAAAGAAAAAAAAGGAGTAGAAAGAGAGAGAGAGATTGAAGCGTCAGGAGTGAAAATCCTACCTGTGTTGGACTCATTAAAGCATTTTTGAAAAGAAAACAAAAGTAAGAAAGAAATGCGTATTGCACATACAGTGAAAGCTTAAACTCCACCAGAACCGCGAGAATTCAAACGTTTCCCTCTTGGAGGAAGATGCACAGAGGGACGAGGGCGGGGGGGAGGTGTGTGCTTAAGAGAGGGGAGGAAAACAAATAATCAGGATAAATTAGGTGAGAGAAGCCGTAGGGAGCAGATGTCAGGCAGAAGTAGCTCTTAAAAAAAAAAAAAAAGATGGAGGAGTGAAGGTGGGAGCCGCACAGCACACAACATGTTTAGAGGAAAAGGAAGCAAAAAAAAGAAAAAGAATGTGGCACAAGTAAAAATCAGGTGAAGGATAATATCTGTTCTTCAGTGATAGCTGAGAGGAGATCAATGCAAGTGTTTTTTTATGTACAACTAAGGCTTATTGGTTAAATAGTTTTCAGGCTTCCCCGCCCACATCGCTCTCACACAACCCTTCCTTCCTTTATGCTCTGTAAACTCAGCACTTCTGTCAGAGCAGCAGCCACACCAATCAAGAGAACCACAGCCGAGGAGGATGGACGAACGGATGGATGGATGAACAGATGGATGGATGCTGCAGCGGTGGTGGTGAAGAAGGAGCAAAAGGAGAGCCGGGAGGAACTGAAAGCAAAAGGAGTCTCGTCTCTGATGTCTGTTGCAATTAATATCTAAATGTGCAATTCCATTAGTCGCTGCCATGGGGGACTAGCGGGTGCAGAAGACCGGGCGGGGCAGGGCAGGGCGGGGGTGGGGGGTCGGTTTCTACTTGGAAAGCTTGCTAATGACTCGAATGAGCGCTCCGTTCTCGTCCTTTAGTCTCTGGTTGTCTGCTTTCAAGTCTGGGAGCATCTGAAAGGGAAGAACGGGGAGGCAAGGGCGAGAGAGAGAGAGAGAGAGAGAGAGCTTAGACGAGTCTCGACACGTTGTTCGACCAGTCAGGCTGCTGGGCAGTGCATTACCAGCAGCCTGAACAAAGCAACCTCAGGAATCACACGGCATCTCACTGTTTGTTTGACAGAAAGTAAAACAGGAATAACGACTTTGATCCGAGTCAAAGGGGAGAAAAGTAAAGGGCGAACACACCACAGGCCAGAGATCCTCAGAAAGCCATGCAGAATCTGAGCGGCTGCTCGCCAGCAGCCGGGAAATCACACAATCCTCAAATCAACTTCAGCTCAGGAGCACAGAACCGGCCGCAGACCCTACTGCTGCAGCATGTGGACTGACTGAGCTCCACAGTTAGTGGAACAAGATGCAACGTTAAATAGGTGATGACTGAGAATCATAAACACAGGTTTGGATGTGTGGCGTAACAAACCTGTCATGTAATTCTGGGCTCCAAATATCCGACCTGGATCACAAATCCAGTGGAAACAGGCAGAGTGTACATCGGCATTTTAAAAACTAAATTTCATTCGGATTTTGTCTTAATAGTGCTTTCAGGTCTTTCAGTGGATTTTAATGGAGATTCTGACTCATTTCCCCTGACAGTTCAAATCGTTCAATTATTCTTTTAATTCAAGAACTAGTTTTTACGTTAGAATCTAAAACCTTAGGACGGTTAAAACGAAAACATTTTAAAATAGACCGGTTTAATAACTTCTATATGCTATGAAGAAATGTTCAAACTATAACCTGACTTTCACTCTGTTCGGTTTGCCGTGTGCTTATGGAAATAATTTGCTTTCTGAGTTAGAGCAACGTTTGTATATTGAATAAAGTTCTCAGGTTTCCTCTGAGAAATAAAAACATTCACATTTAGCTTAGATGTTTTATTTTTTTAAGAAATGCACAACGAAACTAAGAGTTGCAAAAGTATTAATACCGCTTTCACTTTTCCACATTTTGTCGCTTTTCAGTCAGAATTTTACTGGGATTTTAAGCTGAAAGTGGTGCAAACTTATAAAGCTGCTTCTGTGTTGCAAACAGAAAAGTCACACGGCAAAGTCCCCCTATGCTTTTTTTTTTTAAAGTTTAGTTTATTTTAAAACTGTAATTTTTTTCTTCTACTTTACAGTTAAGCACTTCTTCGTGTTTTAAGTCCCAATGAAATTCTCTGATGTTTCCCGTCTGGAATGTTGCAAAATGTGAAAAATTCAAGCGGTGTGAATACTTAACGTCCTATTTAAAGTGCACTGGCTGGTAGAGGGGTTCAGCCCGTGACCCTTCGGGTCAAAATCAAAGTGATGCCACCGGTAGCTGCTTCATGCAATAAAACCAGAACAAGTCAAACTGATGTACTGAGCTACCTCTGAGGAAAGCATCAAACTAGAAACCACAAAAGGACACTTTCCTTTACAGCGCTTTCAAATGCGTTAAAAAAAAACAACAAAAAACTCACCTTCGCTTTTCTCCAAGTATCTTATTAGCATGTTATTACTATAGCTTGTTAAGCAGTAGTTTTCTGAAAGCCCACCGACAGTAGCGGACTGTAAAAGGAGAGTGTCCTGCTGGAAAAGGCAAACAGCCTCCCCAATCTGAAAACCAAAAGCTCTGGGGAGGCAGAGGAGGAGAAAACAGTCGGAGTGGCGGCTGGACACCTGCCTGTCTACGGGTGCGGGGCAGAGCACAAATGGAGCATGAGAAGAAAGAAGGCAAAAAGGAGGAGGAAGAAGAAGACAGAGGGAGGAGATGGTGGACAGACAGACGAGGCCTAGAGGTCGCCGGTGGGCAGCTGGCTGCAGGCCGACTGGGAGAGCTTGGCCACAACGCGGGCCAGCGCCCGGTTCTCAGCCTGCAGCCGCTCCTTAACTTGCCGCAGGGCCTGAACCTGCTTTACCTGGGGGAGGTTCTGAAGGGAGGGCAGGGTGGAGGAGAGAGACAAAAGGGGAGGAGAAAGAGGGTAAGAGTGGCAGAAGAAGAGAAATGCGTTCTAAGACCAAAAATCAACAGAGAGGATTAATAAATAAATCGAGAGATAAGACGGGAGCAGGAGGAGGGAAAAAAAGGGACAACAGGAGAGGAAGATTATTAGAAAATGGGACAGATTTGGAAAACAGGAATGATTTAGAGCTTTCCGTTTCAGCATGAAGCTTGCAGATAGGACGGTAAAGTGACACTGATAAGATCAACATCCTTTCCTCAAACTGACAGGACAACACGCTTACCAGAACTTAGACATTTTTAAATCCTCCCTCTTCCTTCAATTCATTTTCCAAAAATACAAAAAGGAACTCAACTTATGTTTTTTTAATTCTCCGTGGATATAGAACCATGGACAGTCGGCTTATTTAGAAACAGACCTCTGCGTCTTCCCAGCTTTACGAATTTTACAAGAAAGTATAGTGGAAGGAAAAAAACAGGGACAATTTAGGATGTTGGCCAAAAACTAGAAAAATTAAGTTTATTGGTCATGTATTGCTTTTCTAACTAAAATTTTAAAACAGGATTAAATACTTGAGATGTGTCGCTGTATGGAATTAATGTATTTTATTACTTGATATAACATTTTCATTAAATTCAAATTTCTCAAAGACACGAATGTGTTTTGTTTTAGTGATGCACCAATCGGTCAGTGATCTGAGCTGAAGTCTACGGCTTTGACCAGCAGCTGGCAGGTCAAAAACTGAAAAATAGATTTAATATGTGCATCAAGATTGAAAACACCCACTTCAGTAAACATAACAACAAAACGGCTAGTTCAAAAACTGGACAAAAATCATAACCATCTGGCCAGACCTGGGTTTTAATACAGCACAGTAAAACAAACTGACTGGTGATTGGAACCGGTCAATTTTAGGTCGACTGGGAGATTGAAAAAAAATAAATAAGTAAGTAAATAAATAAAAACAAGCCTTACCCAACTGATGGAACATAAAATTGGCTATTTTAAGTATTACTGTGGTGTTCAAAAATAAAGTCAGAAGAAGCATAGACATCTAGAAAACTATTTAAAAACTAAAGTATGAACAGATATGTCAGCTGTTCATTCAGGCTGGAAGAGGAAACACCGAACATGCATCATTATTTTGAACATCTAATTAGTGCATCTCTAATTGCCAAATTCAAAACTTAGCAGGACAAACTCCTTCTGTAACAAATAACGTGAATTTATGCCATGCAACGTTTGGTACCTTGAGTTCCTCCTCCATCTCAGAAATCTTCCTTTCTAGAGCTCTTCTTTCCTGTTGGGACATAAGAGGCGGGTCAACACTGAATTAGAAAAAAAATTAAAAAATACCGACAGATTAAATGATGGTGGCAGATGGTGTTGGGTGATCACACACACACACACACTTCACTCGCATGTCCTGTGAGGGGTGTTCAAGCAACAGCCAGCTCACACCTAAACAGGAAGTGACTGAAACTGAAGTCAACTTTCTACAGGCAGACGGTCAGGCTGCCTCAGCGACTGTTTATTCGGATAATTAAATATGGCTTCCTGAAGTGGATTTAAAATGGAGGAGTTACAACACAGATTGGCTGGGTATGAACTAGTCAAACTAACTGGTATTTAAAAGCATGAAAACACATGCACAGGGTCTGCTGATGTTTCTTTTTTTCCAGCATAAAATTGGATAAATCCACTTCCACACGTTAAAAACACACAGAGATGGTGACCACACACTGCCACTAATGCTTAAATACAAGTGGAAAAAGGAGAAATAGTAAAAAAAAAGTGTAGTGTTCTGGGTGGAGAGCCTGACTGATGCCAGCTACCACAGCACAAAGTGAGCCTACAGGCAGCAGCAGAGAGCAGACTGTTATAAAAAGTCAGGGTAAGATCATACCACCACCCAGTTGGTAAGAGGGCCTGCTTGTTACCTTCAGACATAAACCCATTAGCAGTGTTACTGGGATGTTTCAAATGATGTTTTATTTTAACAATAAATTAGTCTTAAAACACACAGGAAACAGAAAGGATGGTTGATGGTTAACAGAGGAGTGAGATAGAGGTGGTTTGGTGGAGTCGTTCTGCCATTACCCTTTTCTCCATCTCAAGCTGGGATCGGTCAGCGTAGCGTTCCTGCCTCTGCGTTAAAAACACAACATAAAACTTTAGTTGCCTTTTTTTTTTTTTAAAGATGATGAGCAGTGTAAGTGTGCATACCTGTGTAGCTTTCTCTAACTGTAACTTCAAGTCTGCCAGCTCCAGGTCAGTGTCGCGTAACTGGGCCTTCAGCTTCTCGTTCTCAGCTAAGATCTGCTCATAGAGCTGAGGGAGAAAAAGAAAAGTCTCGTTTTTCAGGATTTCTGACATCCAAATTTAAATAAAATAAAAAAAGAAACCTGAAAGTGGATGCTTACCTTTTTGTAGTCGGTGGCGTCGTCTCTATCCAGTCGGCTGGAGTACGGCCTTCGACTCTCACCATAACTACAGCTAAAAAGAGCATCGTTGCGATCCAAATATGAACTGCTCTCATTTCTGCAAATAAATCAAAACAGGTGACATTAGCAACCCAATATTGCAGTTGAGCAACAGCATTCAAAACATGGTGATGCTGCAACTTACCTGGACAATCTGTCACTCTGTAAGGAAACAAACAAAAGAAGTGTCAATATAAAAGAACTGAAAAAGAAATGAAATTAGATTCGTCTCACCTAATCAGCCTACGTAGATTTATTCAGGAACAATAAATGAAATAATATTTGCTACTTTTCAGCTCTCTGTGAGTAGCTGGAGAAGCCGTGACCTAAAGGTCTTCCTGTATCCAGAGATAAACACTCATTTCCTCTGGTAGTTTTGCTGCAGCTCCACCCATCGTAAGTGACGGCAAGCAGCTGGAGTTCCTCCTCTTCTCCCTGATGGCTGACTTCAAACAATAACTGTGCGTCTCTCTCTTCCAAACAGGAAGCTCACCCAGAAACTAATGAGTTTACAAAGCTGCATTTTCGGCCTTATGTTGCATCATTAGTGAACGGCATGACTAATTTAAAAAAAAAAAAAAATTCACTAACGTTCAAAGTATGTTCATTCCAAACATATTATGACACCAAAAACTGAAGCCAACACAGTGTGTTTGATTCCTAAGGTCAACTGAGTGACAGACAATTAACTAAAAATTTAAAGCAAAAGACAAGAATAAGAATAGAAGCCAAAGAGCAGAAATCAAAGATAGAAAGAGCAGGACTACTTTGATTTGACTGACAGGCTGAAGCTCTACTTTTGGCCCTCGGTGTGTGAGGTTAGTCACCTGTGGCTCTCCCCTGGTGCTGCCCTCCTCCGAGTCCGACTGCTGCTCAGGGTCATCATCTCCACCCTGCAATTTAAAACCAGACAAAGAGGTCGTCTTGGGTCTCGCCATCAGAACATCAAGTGTCCTGACCTGCAGAGTGTAAAAATAAAAATAATAAAAAGTCTTACATCTTGAGTCCAGAAGGAGACCCCAGTGGAACGTCTTTTCTCCCGGGGCCGCCTGCGATCCCGTATGGAGCGGGGCTGAGACTTGTCCTCCCCTTCCTTCTCCTCGTCCTTCCTGTCTGATTCTGTCATCGGAAAAGACATTTTACATTTCTTCACATCAAAAATAAACCTTTAAGATCTCAATATTTCCCCTCTAAGTGTATGTATTTATCAGAATTTTGATATTTTAGAATCATTTTCAATGTGAAGTGCGTGTCATCAACAAAGTTTATTGAACTATTCACTAATTTATTGATACACCAAACATCCAGATTTCCTTAAGAAGTGCCTCTAAAGGCAGCTGAGGCATTCAGCGTGTCCGAAAATAAAACGGAAACACACCTGCATTTTAAAGCACAACATAAAAATATTTATCTGTACTTTATAATTACTGTATGAAAACATATTGAATATTTAAATACAGATGCTAGAAAAGACTTGGGCTGCAACCAACTAAACCACAGACTGTGGATTCAGGTGAACTAAAAACTTTTTTTTTTTTTTCCTTTCTAAAAATCTGAAGAAATCAACTTACATTTGTTTTTTTTAGCAGTGACATTATGAACTTATTGTATATCAAATATCCTAGAAGAGTCCAAGTATAATAGAATGGAAGACAATCATTCTTCTTCTGAAATATAGGAAATAAAACAAAGATGAATTCACAGAAATAGTGTTTACGTTGATTATGAGAAGCTATGGCTGTTTCAGAAATGATACTAAATAGTCTTATCTTATTTTTTCCCACAGGTTTTCATCCACATATCTTTGCCTCAAACAGTGTAGCTCTTATTTATTCTGGTGACTTTGAAGAGGACCGACCTTTTTCTGTGTCTCGAGAGGACCTGCTGTAAGATGAGGTGATCCCCGTCAGGCTGTTGGGCCGGTTGAGGGCGCTGGACCCGGAGGACAACGAAGAGCTGGAGTAGGGAGCAGTGGAGGCAGTGCTGACGGTGGAAATGGAAGAGGAGGAGGACGAAGGTCGATAACGCTGCGGGAAAAACAAGGCGTGGAGAGGAGAAATTAAAAATGTGTTAATTACAGTCGCCCATCTCAGGAGAGTGATGACCGAGGTGAAGCAGGTACCTCTTCAAAGCTCCGGTACTTCGATCGGTAATCATCCTCCTTGGTCTCCGTCTCCTTCTTCTCCTCCTGCTGCTTCTCCTTGTCTTGCTTCTCCTTCTCCTCCTTCTCCTCTTCGCGGGTCTTTTGGGGACGAGTCCTGCCAATAGTTTTTTCAGCCTCTTGTAGGTCAGTTAGAGTCACACCCTGGGAAAAACAAGGGACATTCTCTCTTTAGAAGAACAATGCCATTAAAAACTGTTTCAGTCCTGCAGCAGCAAAGAAACGTCGCAACATTTAAACCCCGATGCAACACACAACAGCTTAGGTTCATTTTAATGATAAAAACTCTGCTCCCGATGTATTTTAACATTGGGAAAAAAAAAAGACACTTCCATCTGGTGAAGTAATAAGATGGAGTATAAAATCATTACTGGCTGACCTGTGTGGAGCGCCTCGACTGCCGGGCCTGTCTGGATCGAGCTTTCCTCTGAGACTCCGACTCCTCGTCTCGCACTGGTGTCAGGTACGACCTGATGCAGGAAAAAACAAAATCATTTTAAACTTAACTCTTATGTAAGGCGACTCTGCAGAATGAAAATAAAATGATTGTCCCCGTCATCTTGCTCGGTAAAAAAAAAAAAAAAAAGTATATTTTTTCCTGGCATTTCATCAGAAATGTGATCCAGCTTATTTTTCTTTGTACATTATGTCAAAATAAACCTATAAATTAAACTTGATTAAGCCACAACTGATCTTTTGGGAGCAGAAATGCACCTGAACTGCTGCAGAAAACGAAGATCTTTTTAAGTAATGCACATATTAATGTTGAATTCTTGGGTAATGTTGGCAGAAATCTCAAAGCTTTTTTAAAGCGGCAGTATTATGTTTATTCCAGCCAAATAGTGCCATTTTGTAGCATAATCAAGTAACCAGGGGCGGATCTAGAAAAATATTTATGGGGTGGCAAGAGGGTGGCAGGGACTTTT